CATATATTTCAAAATTATAAAACTGTAAAAAACATAAATATCATATAATATAATATAAATCAAATAAAAATGTGATTATCTAAAAAAATATCTTTTCTCAAAGATAATTCCCTTTTTCTTCAAAGATACATACACGTTTAATTTATTATATTTATATATAATTATTATAGTTATATTTATTTTATCAAACAATATATTTATATGTAAATAATATCGCGAATAATAATACGCAAATCGATGTTAATTATCAGGATAAGAGGAAGACAATATTTGAGTGCAAGAAAACAATTTTATCATAGGTTTAGATTTCACCCTTCTCTGATATCGTTGAAAGATAATGATTAGCATTATAGATTAAGACTAACGCTATCAGGAAGCGATCTTGCAGTTGAAAGCCTGAGGCAGTGAGGAGGATGTATCCAGTAGAATCGCTAACGGTGGTGTATCAGCGCGTCCAAGTTGGGAGGGTGGCTTGTTTACTACCGACAGTTGATTTGACAAAGCCGCAGGTCCATTTATACGAACGAATATTACAGGGGCGCAGTCGAGGGGTGGCTTGTTATCCGCTCATTGAAGTTAACTATGGGGCTAAGTGCGCGAGAGGGGTAGCGACTGTGGCAACGAAGGTAGCGAGGGTTGGATGCGCTACGAGGGTGAGTAGGAACGATGTAGGATGAGCTGACGAAAGAGAGAACGGAGGAAGAGAGATAGTTTGCGTGAAAGCCCATGAGCCAATAAGAGGCTGGATCGTCACCACCGGTAACCACGGGGCTTTCCGCCAGATTATTCGACCGAGATTGAAAAGTTAACGCCGACTGCTTCGCGGTATTCATAAATCGCCTTGCAGCTCTCTTTGCTTTTTCCAGTTAAAATATGTGCCTATGAAAAATGATACAATTGCATTTGTATAAAATGGCAAGTATCCGAAAATAATCAGAAATCATATATTATTTTACATTTTCTTTTAGTAATTATATATAATTTCTTTAATAATTATATTCTTTAATTACATTCTTTTAATAAGTTTGATATTAATTATCCCTTACTCACCTTTTAACATTAGTTATAATCACAATTTTTATTATTTTGACAAAAATGAAAATTCGGAGCGTAAAGGTAGAGTAAAAGTAAAAATAAAAATTAAAGCGTTGAATGTTCCAGGAGGTTTAAATGTTCCAACCACTTGTTTTACGTTTCGATGTTACAATATTATTTTTTTGAAGATTTATTTACTTTTCTATCACTCTTCTTTTACTTCCATTTCTGATTTTTTCTCTTTTCAGGATAATCTAACATTATATTAACATTAGATTATAATTTGTAAAGTATCTCACTTTTATCAAATTCAACTTTAGTGAATTTTACTATGTTCTCTTAAGGGGACTAAAAAACATGAAAAAATAGAAAAAATTGATTTTTGAAAAGATTGATTTTTCATTAATAATAAATGCCTAAAATAAGTACTATTTCATTAATTTTTATTGATATCTTTTTTATTCTAGTTCATGTGATAACTGCAAATATCCTGCACAATTGGTGATAAAATTTGCATCGGTCGGGCGAAAGGAAGTTTAAAGAATTATCACTGTAAAACGATAAAGATGCTTAAGAAACAGACTATACGCTACATGTTTTATATGCTTGTAGCAATAATTTCATAGTCAAAAAATATTTTTTTTCTCTCTATATTATATATAAATATTACTTAAGATTTTAGTATTCATTCGAATTAAAAAAAAATTAGCAAAAATAAAAATAAGTATATTCATGCAATTTGATCATCCAGTCCCTTTAATAAAGATTACTGCTTTTTGCAATTTCTTAATTTTCAACGGTACATACAGTATCTTTGTAATTTATTTAATTTATTATAACAGATGTCTAATAATTAAATGAAACTCATAGGAGAATACATGCATATGACATCTTTGAAAATATTTACTTCTGCATAACGCTGCCGTATTTTCTGCGCTATTTACTAATTGGTTCTTTTGAAAGAATTATTAATGACTAAGTCGGTATAGATATTCTCAAGAGTATAAAAATATACCGCAATGCAGAAATAAATGAATATAAAGAAAAATTTAATGTCCAAATTGTGCAATTAAATCACGTACTGAAACATTTAATAAATAAAACAATCATTCAAATTTTAAAAAAGTTATGTTGTAAACAATTGGGCTATCCATATCATAAAAAATATACAATTTTTTTATTCTTTTATTTATTCAATGTGTGTAAATGCGTATGTAATATAGTGTATCTGTATATGTTAGTAGTGATAATACATGTAAAAGAAAGCTTCAAAAATATATGATAGAAGCGAGAAATAAAATAGAAAGGAGACAATTTTTTTTTTATTATAAGTTGACAAAGATGAAAGAGTATAATAAAAGATGACATCTTTATCTTTATCTTTATAAAAAGAGAAAAGTTTTTCAGTTACTGATGCGGAAATGCGGATAATGACTTTTCATATTTTAATTACGAAATAATTAATTAAAATGTTTTGCTGTAAGGAAACATTTTAATTAATTATTCCATAACCACGAGGGTGCTTGACTAAAATAAAATGCGGATGAAGCCTGCTTTTTTCTTTCGACGAGAAAGCATTTCATTTTATATAATAAAATTTCTTTTTTTAGTTCTAAATTCTACATATGAAAAATTAGGCATGCAATTCTTCGAAAGGGAAATTCTTAGTTAATTCGTGAATGTTTTGGTCTGTCGAGATAGTTCTCTGGCGAAAAATAAATTAACTGAATAAATTAACTCTATGAAATACGATTGTAGAAAAACAAAATATTTTAATGGCACTAAAGGTAAAACGTCCAAAAATGTATGTTAACCGATTTTGTACTTGATTAATTTTTTAATCAAAAAACGCAAAGAAGTACAAAAAAATAGCGTAACTGTAAACTTTGTCTCAGAAAGCATAATTGTTGAAATAATTCTGGAATCCTTTTCACGTTAAAAAATAATATTAAAACATACAGTATGATCTTTTTAATTCACAAATCAAGAAAAAATTGTTTAATTAAATATTTATGATATTTTAATTAAAACACATTTTTATTCATTTTTATATATAATTATATATATATATATGTACATGCACGTACGCGCGCGCGCGCGTAC